TGAGCTCCTCTTCTGAGCCATGATGAATTTGACTTCCACATCTATTCTATTATTGCCAGAGATCAAAGTTAGGGGGGAAAAAGGGAAAGAATAGAAATCATATTAACATAATGACAAAATGCATATAAATGGAAAAGGAGAGACTAACTTTGCTGGAATTCGAAGGAAAATACATTGCTGACGATGTATACTGGGGTGGGCAATTATTTGGGCTGGAGGGCCACTTAATGAGCTCCGGGATCCTGTCAAGGGCCACATCCATCTCTGTGTCTCGCTCTTTCTCTCTGTCTTTCTCTCTTCTCTTCCCTTCCCTCTCCCTCCCTCCAGAACCAGGCCAAAGTTATAATTCACTATGAGCCCTGACCCTCAGCTGTGGACCCAAGTAGGAGCTTCTGCAGCACCTGGCAGGCAGCAGCATCAGAACTTGCCGGCAGTGTCACAACGGATTCTGAAGCCCCACAGTGTGGCAGAAGCTCCTGTCTGGGTACACAGTTGAGCACTGTGACTTCTAGTGAACCAGTTTCAGCTAGGTTCTGGAGGGAGGGGGAGGAAATAAGGAAAGGAGAGGCAGAAAGACAAAGAGAGAAATGGAGAGATGTTGCTGCCCGCCCAGCATGGCATCCGGGCTCCCAAACCTACCAGTAGCATCCACAGCTGATGCTGCCATCCACTCACTGCAGCAGAAGCCCTGCCTGGTGCACAGCTGATGCCTGATGCTGCTGGGAAGAAGCAGTCCTGTCTGCCTGGCGCCATGCAATGGCTGGAGCCTCTGACTGGCCACAGGCCAGATCCAATGAGTTGGTAGCCATGCACATCCGGGCCGTATTGAAACTGTTGGTGGGCCAGATCTGGCCCACACACCGTATTTTGCCCACCCCTGATGTGTACCGTAAACCAGCGATTCTCAACCAGGGGGTTGTGGCATCCTGGGATGCCAAAACATCCTTTTAAGGGTGTCATGGGGTGCTGCTCAGAACTAGCACTGTTAGATATGCGAACACTTACACATGGTTCACAAAAACCTAGAGATTTCAAATAAAGATACATAGCATCAAAAACATTCTGACCTGCTGTGGGGCTTCTGAGTTCTTTGCAATTATTTGCAATTCAAAAGAATTGCTCTATTATTTTTCCATAGTCAAAAAAAAGAGCTGAATGTTAAGAGCTGAGGAGTTCCTGGAATCCAATGTGGGATGCCTCAAGTCTAAAAAGGTTAAGAACCACTACCCTAAACAATGATCAGTCAGTTAATCACATTTCCAAATACACTAGACTAGTGAAATATTTTAAATGAACGTATTCAACTGATGTTCCCTGATTTCTACTGATTACCTGAGGTTTAAAGTGTTGGCCTTCATTTACAAAGTCTAAGGGCTAACATGCCAACTGTTTACACACATTAAAGATACTTAAAATTACATATAACTGCATGCTATAATTTAGTTAAGTATATTAATCATTTTCAGTGAATTCTGTATCTTTATTTTAGACTTTTGAGCAGGCCTATTTTCCTAAAATCCTCTGAGACTTGCAAAAAGGACCAAACTACTACTAAGTTTTTGAACTTAGCTAGTATAAAGCATGCAAGTATTTTAGGTAAGAGAAAGAAATAAATTAAGGGAATTAACAGTCCCGGTGCAGAGATTACAGTGCTAGGGATCTTATCTTTCCCAGAGTGTTACATCTAAACTGACATCTCTAAAGACCACTGAAGAATTGATTTCTGATGGTTCTCTGACATCCTGGGACTAAAAAACCTTGTGCATGTTCCATTCTATTTCCACAGATTACATGAAGTTAGACACTTAGGCCCCAGACAGACATTCAAACAATGGCATGATTGGGACTGGAGGAATTTTATGCCTTATCCCAAATATTTCAGACATGCATGACAGAAGGCATGAAGTTTGGGATGGGGAATAAAATTCCTCCAATCCCAACTGTACTACTGCTGAGCTGTCCTCAGCCCAATCCTGAAGAATGAGCTGGAGACAGCTCTGTCCTAGATCCAGGGCTGCCCACAGCCTCCTGCAGGCTCCAAACCCACGGCTATCAGGGACAGGTTCAACAATCAGCTGCTTGTCCAACTGGCCCCAACAGTCCCAAGTGGGACTTTGAGACCCTGGGCTGTTGGATGCTGGGCAGCCCTAGCAGTTTTGTGTGGATTCTAGGCTCAGGGCTGTTGGAGCCAGAACAGTCAACTGAATGCTGGACCCAGCCCTGATTATCCCTGGACCTGTCTGGGCTAGTTCTGACAATCAGCTGATTTTCAGCCAGCCCTAGGACAACCCAGTTGTAAGCATGATCTTTAGATGTCCCATGGCACTGGGACCTTAGGAACGGGAAACCATTCTACTGTACCAGGATCCCCATGCCTTGGGACATCTAAAAGGTACAGGTTCAGGTCAGCCTCCCACAACCTACCATTTTTAAGTGGGGGCTACAGGACAAGACAAAAAATGCTGCCAGGGTCCCAGAAGCCAGAGCTGCTTGGCTTTCCCAACCAGAGAACCTTGCAACCTACTCTCCCAGCAGCTGATTTCTGCCACTGGAACTGGAGCTGTCCCTAACTTGATGGCAATACTGTCCCCATGCCAAAGCTGACAAGCAGCTGACTGTCAGCATCAGGATGGCGGTGCTACACGTTAAATTTATGGCAACCTGAAAATGAGCCCCAAAAATGTCCGCAATTTTTGTGGAATAACTTTGGGGCTAGTTTGCCACTTTACAGTGCTATAAATTAGCTGAATGTGTAGCACCTTCTATTTATGGTGAAATTGCACCATAAATGTAACATGTTCCAGGGGCCTTAACGCGTAGGGAACAGACTTATAACATAAGTAGTTACCTGGCACTGTGTGCTCTGACACCACAAGGAAAGTAAAGGGAAGGTTTGGTAAGAAATCTTTTACCTGGTATCTTTGCATTTCTTTCTTCCAGTTTTGTACTATTTTGATAGTTTTTGTACAAATAAGATCCTTTTCTATTTGGGTCATCTGAACAATCTCATTAGTCATTTAAGTAGTTGATTTGAAAAAGCACAAATTCAACAGGTAAAAATTATTTGCTCAATTGGCCACTGATCATCTTATTCCTTTCTGCATGAAGTACTAGTTTAGGCCCTGCCAAACAGAGTACCCTCTTCTCGTGCTACTGTGCCATCAAGAATACGAATGAAAATCCACTTTTGCCACTGTGTAAGGATCCAACAGCTTTGAAATCTATTCTCTCTAGACCTGAAATACTCTAATGATCTTGAGAGCATCTGCACCCCTTTCCTGCTCTCCAAAAAATCTGAAAAAGGTGGGAAGAAGAACCATAGGGATAGGACTATGAGAGAGTAAAAGAAAAAGCTGAGCTTTTAATTTGTCTGGTTTACTGAAAACTGGTAATATTGAACCCTATTACTGGATGACTGTGGATTGCACAATGTTTCATCTGGACTTGTACAATGTAAAGTAATAAAAAAACATTCTATTATGGACAGAAAACTCTCTTGTGTTCACTGGAAATCTCATCTCTTGTTGATTTAGTTTAAATTGCTCAGATTGATAACTTACACTATTTAATTAAATACAAGATGATGTTTTGTTTTAAAAATCACAATGTTCTCAACTACACAAAATTGGCAAGTTAACCCAAATTAGAATTTGGGCTAACTTGGGCAATTTTGGCACAATATAGGCAAGACAAGTAGGAAATGTTTGATTCTGTGTTTTGACTTGCATATTTAGAGGTCGGTCTACTAGGATCTCTAAACAACTGATTCTGTGGGCGAAACTATCTTTGATAGATAGGTGTATCTAGTCCTTCATAAAGAATGAGTTTTGTGTTCCTCGTTCTCAAAGCTAAGCACTATGATTCCAGCACCTTCAATATGTACTCTGGCCTTGATGCAAGGATTTCAGCCCAAATAGCTGGAAGGAAGACTTTCTTCTACATCAGACTGTTCATGTTTCTTGTTCTCATAATTGCTGCTGTTAAAGACTGTTGAAGACTTAGGATTTGAGGTAGAGAACTCTGTGGTAGGTCTTACGTTATTTGACTTGGTATACAATGTTAAGAGCCTAAATAAATACAACATCCTAAGAAGGGAGAAGTCTTTCTAGAAAAGTGCCCGGTAGAACTTTTTTTATAGGGGTTGACAAAACTAAGCCTCCAAAGCACTGGAAGAGATGTCTTGGCTGGCCATCAGTAGGATTTAAAGGAAATGCTTGAAGTAATTAAATCTCTGTATTAATCAATTTTGTCAAAACTCCAGCTTCTAAAAGACTTTTTTTTAACTAAATGTTACCAATGGAGAGAAAAGGCATTTTAATTTTTGTGGCAAACAATATCCCTTTTGCCTGACAGAACTATAATGCATGAATAAGTCTCTCTATGTCAGATCAGATTTTATCAAGAATGCTGTTACATTCTATAATTCATCTAAAGCACATAAAGCAGCAGTCTCAGTGGATCAAGTTTCTCCAAATGAGGAGCCCCAGCTTCCCAATGCCTGGAATACTTAAGACCTAAAACAAGCCACAACTATATTCTGACATGACCACAAGATTGTTTAGCTTATTCCTGTGGTCCTCCTGAAATAATTCCATGTATAATAAAGGTCAGAGACTTTTTAAAAATTTAAATCATAGTGGCCACACACTGTATACTGTTTACCTCACAAAGCTGTTGTAGGTTGTATTGACTCTCATCCATCCTACTTCAGCTACAACTGAAGGAAACAAACATGACAGCAAACTTACACTGAACGATAATCAGTATATAGTGTATATAGTGAAATCCCCTAAAGGAAAAGAAATAATGTAGAAAAGTAGGGGTGCACCAATAGAGATTTTTTGGGCCAATGTCAATAGCCAATTTTTAAGAAGGTATAACGGCCAATACTGATCTGATTTTCCAATACACAGCTTAGCGATTTGAAGAGCAGTGTCTGGCTGGTACATCTGTGGTGAAAGGGGACGGGGAAGGGAAGGGACGTGGTGGGGGGCAGACTGAGGCTCCTGCGGTGAGGGAGGGAGTTGGGCTGGGGCAGACGCTGCCCAGCTGGGGAGGGCAGGGCGTGGGATGGAACTGTGGTTCATCTGGGAGGTACGGAGGGCAGCTCCCACTGCTATGCGTACCCCAGGAGGGCATGTGCCCCTTGGATCTGTGCGTGGGGTGAAGCAGGGTGGGCTGCTGCTGCGGGCTAGGGGCAGGGGCTGTGCTGGGTTCTTCCTGGTAGGGGCTGGGTCGAGCTGCACTCAGGGCGGGCGGCGGCAGTGCTGGGAAGCGGTTTGGGGTGGGTTATGGCAAATTTTGGGGTGGCTGCAGCTCCCTCCCAGTGCCACTACCACCCACCCCGAGAACAGGCTGGCCCAACCCCACACTGGGAAGAGCCTGGCGCTGCCCTGGCCCCAGCCCGCAGTGGCAGCCCACCCCGCACAGATCCAGGGGGCACACACCCCCATGCCCTCCTGGGGTGTATACAGTGGCAGGAGCCACCCCCTTCTCCCCAAGCCCCCCCGGGACGAGCCGCAGCTTTGTCCTGCGCCCTGCCCTGCCCTGGCTGGGCAGTGCCTGCCCCAGCCCCACTCCCTCCCTCCCTCACCGCAGGGGCCTTGATCTGCCTCCTGCCATGCCCCTTCCTTTCTCTTCCCTTTCCACCACAACAGACTTACCAGCTGGACGCAGCTCTCCAAGCTGCCGGGCCACGCTCCTGGCCCTGTGAATACTGTAGCTGTGCACATGCACAGGGCATTTATTAGTCACATTATTGGCCGCATCAGGCAAAAAAACCTGATTTCTGGTATAGTCAATTTTCTTTATATTGGTGCCGATCTAATATCGGACTGACGTATTGGAGCACCTCTACAGAAAAGACAGAGCATAGCTTTCAAAGTATCCAGACAACTCTTAACGAGTCTAAAGGTAACTTCATTAATCAGAACCTGATGCTGACAAAATTCAAGCTGAATTTAGCAAGACAGTTAATTAGGCACTATAAAAAGTTTGCTGTAAAAGGGCAAAATACTTTCAATTAGACCTTTTTTTTTTTTTTTTTTTTTATAAATCAAGGAAGTAAAGACATTTATATAGAGTATTATAATGAAGGTGAGAAGCCTGGGATATTATAGACAGAGTACTTAGGACTGTTTATCATTAAGGTTGTCTGTGTCCCATTAGGAGACTCTTTTTCAGGAACTCGAGTTTCCTTCCTAAATTTTAAATCTTTGTTCTATATTAGATGTTTATCTCAGAATGATTTTTCTTTCTTTTTTTGGAGAGTTTCAGCAAAATAGTTAATCCATATCTAAAAAATGCAATTGGAAATAAATGGTTTCCCCTAGATTAAAAACTGACCAACTATTTACATTCTAACAAACTCTCAGTATTTCCATATTGGTTAAAGGTGTGAACCCCTTAAATAAGTGAGGGCCAACCTTTTTGGCAGACATACCACAACTTAAGCCCTGCACTCTGCAATCCCTGTCTGTTGCCCCATCTGCTGCTCTACTTTCTGCTCCCTGCCTATCTGCTGCTATGCTCCCTCCTCCCTCCCCAATATACTGTCCATGCCACTTGTGGCACGCATGCCGTGGGTTGACTAACCCCAATTTAAGTGCATAGCATCTTTCAGTCCCAGTCTTACCCTGTAATGTAAGTGTACTCAGGACAGCTGTTCCTGCTTATTAGTTTGTAACCGTACTCTCTTAAATGGACTACTACACAATCTTTGGAGCCTTTAACATTTCTTGAGATATGGTTATAATGCTGGGTTGAGAATCTAAGGAGAAAACACATTAACGTTTCTTCAGTCAATCCTTGTGGCTTGTTCTCAAAATACAGGGAAACATTCTTGCTTGTCTCTGAGAAATGTTAATGCTGTCTCCACTTTATATTTCTGCATCTCTCCGTGGACCTAACCTTTCAGGGGATGTTTACTAGAAAGTGTTAGAACTAATCATGGCCGTTTTCATTTCACGGGCACTCAACAGAAACAAGGATGTCACTTCAAGGAAAACGGTGCTTCCAGCCTTGCTGGCTAGCGGTATTCAGCCAGGCTGTGAAGAACCTGCCGGGGAGCGGCGGGGAACGCCGTTGTTTATGGCAGCGATGCTCAGCTGTGGGGGCTGCAGCACCTTGGGGTGCACCTGGTGCTCCTTGCAGCACCTGCCCCACTGGGCGTGCCAACACGACGCACGAGGTTTCCAACGGGACCTCAGGGCGTCAAAGCCGCAGTGCCCTACCCAACTCCTAGCGCCCCACCGCTTGCTCAGGCGCTTTTTTGCCGTCAGGGCCAGAGAAGTGGAGAGCTGGCGTTTCCCGGGGTCTCGAGCCCAGAGTCACAGCCCCACAGCACGTCCCCTGCCCCGTCCCCACACCAGGGGTTTTCTTCACAAGACACCTGTGCGTCAGGCAGTGTGAACCCGGCCATGCAGACACGCCAGGTGGGCACCACAGCGCAGGCGCATGGAGGCACCTGGCTAGGCTTGGGCCCGCCCTGCCGAGTTGGTCTGCAAGGTGCCTCCCCCGCACCCGCGAAGGACAGGCAGGAGCAGGGGACGGGCGCTACCTCCCCCACCCCCCGACCCGCCTCTGTCCGCACTCACCAGCCCGGCGCCCACGTGGCCTCCTCGCACAGCGCCCCGCGGTGCCCACCGGGGG